GAAGGCGCATCGAAATGTATATTACTGATTTTTCTAACACGATTTCTGCAGTTTTTTTTTTCAATTTTCGAAAGGTTCAAAAAATGTTTTTTTGTGAAAAAAACAAAAAGCAAAAAAGTTGATAGAAAATCGTAGTTAGAATACGTATTATCTCTAAATAAATAAATTTAACCATCTGAGTCTTTCGTAGTTTGTAGATCTTCGATTAGCGGTTTGAATGTGAACCTGATTATTCAATATTCACTGTAAACAACCCACGGGATTAGTTTGTTCTTGATAAGGTCAACTGAAAACCTCACAAAAACAGGTTAGAATAATCAGTAATATGCGGCTCGATGTGTCTTTATCTCCTTTTTACAGCGGCAAAAACCGCAGTTCTCTATCTTGTTGCTATCAAACGTTATTCAAAAAATACTGACGAGCGTTCATGTTCATGGTACCAGGACACATGCGAAAGAAACAGATCTTATCGAAATTTTATTATTATGATATTAGTTGAATAGTGATCAAATAGTATGGAAAGATAGATCAAAACACGCTTGATCTGCGAATAAAAACAGAAGTTCTTGCCAAGCAGTCTACACGAAATTAAGATGCGGGGCTCACTACTTTTGGTATGACTTAAGTATAACAATTCAATTCGTTCTATCGAAAACGAACCTGAATGGAAAAGATTCAATTTTTCTTTTCGCATATGCAAATGTGAATTTAAAATGTATATTTCCTGAAGTAGATAATTAGCTAAAACAGTGTATGTCGTTTTCGATTTTGCATAAATGTATTAAAAAGAGAATAATTGGAAACTGTGTGATTTTGTCCATCTTATGAAAATATTTATCGATTAAGTGTGGTATTTGTTGTTATTATAGAGTTGTTTTTGGCCATTTATTCCTTCGACGGTAGGGAGGGTCACATGAAATGAATTCAGGTTGTATGTCTACGTATGTGTCAAGGTCAAAGATAAAAAAAATGTTTCTGAGAAGTCTCAACAATGGTAGACGTTTTGAAATATGTGGCTTTCATCCAATCAGGGTTTTTAGCCTGAGAATTCAGCGAATGAGAAATTTTCAAAATGGGGCTTTCGACCAAGCAGATTGTATCTGATTAAAATTCAACCTGTTTAAACGTTTTTCAAAACTTAGCTTTTGTCCAATTGGATTGTGAGAGTCTGAGCTTTCAGTCAATCAGTATTTTGCAAGTGCATTCCTTGTTCAATTGGATTTTGAGGAGCTCATGCATTTCAATAAACGTTATTTCCTCGACTGAAAGGAGGGTCATGCGAAAAAAAACCGGTTGTTTTGCTTGTCATCGGGTCAAAAAAATAAAAGGTCAAAAGACGTAATAATATGATTCAGTTGAGTATTCTATTTTTTTTTTTTTGTTGATAAATTTTTGGTCATATAATTAGTCATGAAATAAGTAAATACAATTTTCTAACTATGGTGCTGCACAAGAGAGAATTCCACGGCACTATTTTTGAAAACGCTTTGCTCTATATACAGTGGAAGAAAGTGGTGATGTTAATTCTGAGAATGATTAAAATTGTCAGTTAACTATACTATTACAGATAAGAATCATAATATTGTACCACGCATACTTTGTTACATTTGATGTTACCATCAGTTATTTCAGAGAAATAAAATAAAATGATATGTAAATAAATTTAACTCATTTAGTCGAGGGCCAAGCGAGTCGGAGCGATGAGCGTTGCTGGTCTTCTAATTGCTACATGCGATCATGAAGATTGAAAAGTATTAGTTTCGTTATAAATGAAGCAGAAGAAATTGATAGAATATAAGTACGACTAGTTCGCATTTCTTTAATTCTTTGACATCAAGTAAAGCTGAGATTGAAGAAAACAGCTCTAGTTTTTTGGTGAATAGTATGTTAATTTTTTCCTCTTGCTACCCTTGAAACAAATTGCTGAGAGTTATTATTTTTCTTGTCTTTTATTTAGTTTAGCATTGTGATTTTACAGACAGTTTCTAAAACTTTTTAAAAATAGAAGTTCGTGTATAAAATCATTAATATATAGTGTCTTTGTATCATTTTGAACTCTATTAATAGAAAAACGAATGCAAGCTAGCAATCAGATCTTACAGGCAGCGC